ATTGTATTGAATATACTGTTTGTTTTAGTGTCAGTTATGTTTTAATATATGAAAGTCATTATGTAATGCTAACTTTCCACTTGTTAACAATAAATTGGATATGCCTGTAAAGCTTCTTGCAGTGCACACATCTTTCTAGCCAAACTTGAATTTATCTTAAACTTAAGATACATGTTACCATTCAACCTTACAAGTGAAGTCCTTACTCTTAAAGAAACCAGACCTAAGGTGACGACTATCCAACTTTTCCCCTCCTGGTTGTGAAACAACTGCTTCTCTTTCCTTTCAGAGGATAATAGTAGTAGGTTTTGTTGTTGTTATTGGCTTGAAAATGTGATTAAGAAAAATGTTCTGAAGTATTTTAATTAGTGTAATCTACTCATATAAGGTTGATGTCTGTATTTCTTCTTCCTGACTCCGCTGAGAGTTAGGTTATACCCAGCATATTGTTATGATACCTTCATAATTGTTATAATCTTCGTAATGTTCAGTAAGGTTGCTAGGGTAGAATAGATAACCTGGAGTTGATTTGAGTTTGTTCTTTCTTCTTTATGAAGTTAGAACACTGTTCTGCTGGTGAAATCATAATTCACTAATGTGTTGGGGGAGAAGAAAAGCAGAAGTTAGTTTTCCTGTAAGATTCACTCATGTGAGCAGAAGTCGTAATAAGTCAATAAGGAGTTAAGTTGCCTTTTTTAAAAAAAAAAAAAAAAAAAGAAAAGAAAGCACTGAGTGGAGAGCAGTTCTTCTTTTCTTTCCTCTTTTTAGGAGAAAGTTCCTCCTAGTAAGCTCTTCTGGTTGCTCTACCCCACCCTCTTCAGAGAAAATCTCGTACACTTTCCCTTTATTCAGGATGAAATCCATTCGTGTGCCAAGGGACCCAAACATCTTGTCACTGCATAGAGACCGCCCTTGCGCTGGGCTATTGCCAGGCTGGCTTACTCTTTGTCACTCGGGGAGCTGCTGAGTGCCTCCTCTTGCTCACTGCTACCCACMTACACAAGCCAACATCTCTTTTGCTCAATGCAAAGCTGAAGTGCTGGAACAGGACACGTTACTCTTGCATTTTTAACTAAAGAGCTGCAGTTACAATGCACTTGTCTGATGGTTTAAAGTGGGGTTTGGACCTTCTCTTTCAGTTGACCTGCCTTAAATCTTAAATACCATAAATGCTTCTTTCTCCTTACAGAGAACAGCAGATCACCAAGCTCTCTCCTACTGTTGGAAGTCAAACCAAAGTGCAACATGAACTTGCTCACCGAAAATCGTATTTTTTTTATCACAGTCCCTTGCAACAACAGTGCTAAAATTGCCATTTCTAAATTAAATAATCTTCCTGTCTTCTCAGCCACAATCCTGTAAGCTTAATGCATTTCTAAAGCCCTGGTTTGACATACCCATGTTTCTTTTTTGCACTATCCTAATTAAAAAACATATGCTTGAGCYAGAGATGCTGTTCTTTTTACTCCTTAATGTGGATTTTGTGAGCAGGAAGTAGGAGTGGTGCCCTGCACGGTTCTCATTCCTTAACCCACTTCCTGCAAAGCAGTTCCTTGTGTCGTGTTTCTAACTTCAGGAAGGCTACAGAAGATTCTCAAAGGGCAGAAATAAAAGTGCAAGAATCACTGTGCAATAACCTTTAATAATAATCTTTGCACCTAAGTGGCAACTTGGAAAATGGCAGAAAGAACCAGGCATSCAGGGTATTTATTAAAAGAAGCAATACAAAAACAGATAATTCAATAATATCTGAATTTCAATTTCTGCTCTGAATCTAAGGATGGCTTTTTCSCTAGGATAGACCATAGGTGCATAATTTGCCACAGATTAGAGTTGTGAGCTGCTGTGTATGTTATCTAAATTGATTTTGTGATTTCAGTTTTGTAGCAGCAAATGCTGCAGCTTTATGGTTTTGTGTTAATCCCTACTGACCTTTATTTGCCAAGTAACAGTGGTCATTAGGAAACAAATCTTGCCCTACAAGCGTTTTTAAATTTCCAGAAGTTAGCGCTGTTTTTCAGTGTCAGAAGCAAGTCCAGCCTGCAGCAATGTGGCACTGTTAGCCGGAGAGAGGACTTGCAGGGCAGGCAGTACAACAGTGACTGTTGTTTCTTACCTGCAGTATGACCCTGAGAAACCTATTTCCTTTCTCCCCCACCTCATCGCTATTTGGAGTTGCAAATCTCTTATGTCAGGAGATAGTGTGAAGGTCTCAATCACAGTTTTACAAAGATAGAGCCCCTAGCTCCAAAAGTCTTTTCATCATGAATAAATACAGAGGAAAGTGGTAGTCCAGGAAAGCCTCACCATGTGTCCTGCTTCTGACCTCTTCTCTTGGCATCAGCCAAGAGGCCGCTAGGTCGAATGTGTTCAGTAGAGAAGATGTTTTTCTGGTCAGAAATATTCCATGCAGCTCTCTGAAGAGCATCCCATCATTACGAGCAGGTCATTGTTCTGAATACCAACATTTTCTGACAGTAGTTCCAAAGGTAATTTCTTTTAGCRCAGATAAAACAATATATGTTTCTCTTAACTCTGAATCATGAAACAACAGCTGCTTTTATTGAAGGTTTCCAGAAACACTTAGCCTAAGGCAGACACCTGATGTGGAAATGTCAGCCTAAATCTTCTATAACGGAAGTGCCAAGCAGCTGAAGGCGATGTTAGCAGCTCCACCTTCAATAATCGGCTGTGCTAAAAGCTGAAAGGAGAGTATTAATGCCTCAAAACACAACAATCCAATTCTGTAGAAGACAATATTTTATTAACAAAGAAGTTATAATATCAAAGTAAGAAACTGCAAAAGAGTTACAAACAACTATAAAAATACCTCTATTTATCCAAAATTAAATATGAACACTTTATTAGTTAAATGCCAATATATTATTCTCTGAAAATATTCACAAACTTAAAGTCACGTCTAGCATATTAAACACATCATATAAAATAATTGTGTACAAGGAATCACAATCTGAAGGTAAAATTCAGATTCTAGCTCCTCCTTCAGCTGACTAGAGATATCTCAGAGCACAAACCTAGTGCTGTTCCTTGTCAGCTGAACAACCTTACATTCAGGCATCCCCTTTCCCTCCTTCCATAGGCCTCCCTGTCTTGCCTCTACTTCAGCGAGTAGAAGCGTGCTACATCTTTCAAAAGCCAGTACTCTGAGGTTTTGGGATTTTTTTTAAAGTTAACCTTTTCCCTATTTTTTCAAACCTCAGTTTGCAGACCCATTAAATGCAACCCTAGCCATGCTTAAAACATTACTGCAACAGCAGAACAGACTTGAGAGCTGCTGCCCATATGGTAAAAGTTTATTTCGGTCCTTGATATGTTCTATATAGATATAAAGAAACCAGCTACTTTGTCGTACTGTTACCTGGTCTGGTCAGAAGTTTTTAAGACATGTTTTTAATAGCAGTAGACACCAAAGTATGCTTTCATATTATGGTACTATAAAGTTACTCAAAAGATAAGAAAGTTTGGAGTCATTTCCAAAGCATGAAGTAGAACTTGGCCTGCTCTTTACTTCTTTCATTCAAAGAGTGTTTTCTATTTCCACTTCTTGGCCTTCAGCAGCTTCTTTTAGCCGTTTGTAGTTATTCTGTCTYCAGGAGCAAGGTACTGTAGCTTTCCATCAAAATTCTGGCGTGAAGTGTTTATGTGAATGAGCAGAGTTACTTCCAGAATGCATACAGAATGCAAAGATGCCAAGTAATGCCACTTTTAAAGAAAAGAGCAGGATTCACCTGGAAATTATTTTTTCAAATTTATTCCAGCAGGATCGAAGGCTAGATATATTTTCTTTCAGTTCACAAAATTCTTGGTTACATTTCTTTTTTGAGTGTTCAGCTGATACTGTGTCTTCTTTATTATGTCTATTTAGCAATATGCAAATCTGAAAAAGAGAAGTTTATATTGTCGATTTGGAAATGCCCATTCTTTTTATATACACATATTGTGAAACATTCATTTCTTTGCATCTCAATAACGCAGGTTTGTTACTTGATAATTTAGCCAGGCTGCTGGGCTCCTCCCACTGTCTGCAGGGACAATATTGGAAGTTGGACTAGATGACCCCTACATGTCCCTTCCAACCCTAAGCATTCTATGATTCTATGATAYGCAACCTGCACCAGTTCTCACTCTGGATACTGCATTGCTGATGTCCCTTCACACTAAACTGGGAGAATGCAGCTTCAACTTACAGAAAATAAGGAGTTCTGAAAMCAGTATGTTAAACTGAGAATATGTACATGCTGTATCGGTGGTTTAAAATTAACCTCATTTACATGAAGAACTGGAAAAAAACAAAGCTAACTGAACTGGGACCTGGTCTGGTTATATGTGTGKAGCCTTTAGAATTATGGAACAAAACAGTGTTGTGCCTAGAAGAAGACACTGCAAACAATCATTCAGGATTCTCCCAGAGACCAGGAGATCATGGTTCTTGTCCTCCTCAAAATGCTGTTTATGATTTCAATTGCTCCCTAGGTAATTGCTCCTCCAGGCACTCTCAGGGACAGGCAGGAGTTTCAAGAGTGATGTTCTGCCTCTCATGTCTTAAATGGAATGCCTTTTATACTGAGGCAGAAGTTAAATTCCAATACAGGTGCCTAAGGAAAATATAGAATCAATGTTACTTTGAGGATCTGGTCATAGGTTATRCAAGTCATTTCAAGAAGAAAAATTAATTGCAACCTTTATTCAAGCAACATAACRTAAATCATGAAGAATTACCCCCTTTGTTGCCTATGGAAGACTTTTCAATGTTRGACAATAGTTTTGAGTTCAGCATATTAATTGTGAACCACAAAGTAGTTAAGGAATATTTTCCCTTTGCTRAGGTGGTCTGTAGATCACTGCAGCGGAACTGAGTGACATTCCAAAGAAATGACTCTGCAATGGCTGAAAACTCAAACGTTTTCATATCTAAGTATCACTTGAATTTCAGATATTCTGATTAAAATAAAGATCATGCTTCAGCCAAAGGGATATAGAAAAGGTAGAAACTTCCACTAATTATTTGTCGAAATAAGCCAAATTTAGTAKGTAAGACATTTTATACAATTAATTTAAGGTAAAGCCCCAGTGTAGACTAACAACTATGACTGTACTTTCTAGCCTAGTTAAAGGCTTTTGCAAAAGTCTGGTCTTTGTCTTTTACTGGAGAGTTACTTGAAGTGTTTCAATGCTGAACCAGTGTACACCATCTGACTACAGACTTCCAGGCCATCAGCTTAATTAGTCTTTGCACTAGGCTGAGTCTGTTAGACGCAAAATTTGCCATACATATAATATGCAAGACAGATGTACCTTAGACTAACATGATACTGCATCTGTTCTGAAGAGCTGTAAGGAATAAGCCATTTACTTACTTTCAATAGTCTGTTGACCATCATTAGCACTCACCTTTTCTTTTCTATGTCTTTCACATTTGCACTCAAGGATGTTTAATGTCCCACATGAGACTGATGTGGCTTTCCATCTAAAGTCTTTGTTGATTTTTTGCTTATTAAAGAATTTAAGCATGTTGCATGCCATACTCTGTAGTGATTCYATTTCCTGCAAAGAAAAATATATCCTGAAAAGTCTGTGCATCATTAATTCCATGTAATATTGGTTTGTCTTAAAATGCTCCTTCCATGGCCATAACTTTCCTATGCTGTGAATCTTCCCCAATAAATTATCTTAAATTAAGATGATTAAAATTACCTTTTAGAGAGGGATCTAATTACCCTCTCTAAAATATTACGATTTCTAAATTATTCTAAGCACCAATCTATAGTAGAAATAATAGTATTCTAAGGAAACTGGGGAKAAATATCCTTTTGAAACCTTTTGTGAAATCTACTGATACACTAGAAAAAAAGTAAGCCATTCTTGGAGTCACTCCTTTTGTTAAGGCATAATAACACTGGAAGCTACAGCAGCCATTTGTGCCATCAGTCATTTAAGATCTACCTCAAACTATTACTTTTAAAGATGTCAAACCTGAAGTTAAAAGCTTAGCTGATATGAACTTGCGTAGAAAAAAAAAATAAAACAGATACTGGGAAAAGTTTGTATCTACATTCATGGGCAAAATGAAGAAGATACATTTTYGGTACTATTTTGAATTAAAATATGAAAGAATTTTTACAGGAGAAAAGATTTGTTGGATACAGAATTAATATTTCAAATGAATTTATATTTAATTAAAAAAAAAGAAATTGCAATTTCCTGGACAGACTGTGTGATTCTAGAAAAGASTAAAAAGAACAATCGTGAACACCATGACTTGACTATTACAAAGCAACATTAATCACTATTATAACCTGTTACTAGGGTACAGTACTCCCAACAAAAGAAAACAACAACATCAAGAAAACACTTCGGCTCATATTCTCTAACTTAACTTCTGAGAAATTAAATTTTACCTGAGTATCATTACAGAAGAACACTTTGGCATTTTCGTGTTTTTTATTCCTGCAGCACCTATCACGATAGTCTGCAGACATATTTACCTGTAACAGATGATATATAATTTAATCAAATGAGTACTTTTAACCAAATGAGCCTAATTTTTCCCTAATAGCTAATTTTTCACTAATAGCTCGTGGCCTGAACATCAAATTGTATTTTTAGGGTCTCCTCAGTCGTTGCAAGTGCACAGTTCTAAGCTTTTCCTTGTCAAGCAAGCAAAGAAAAGCCCAATGCCACTACAATTTGTAAAGGTTTTCATTTTACATCTTCAGATTTCATTGAACCACTTGGTCTTTTACCATTCAAAAAAAAAGTTTATCAATATATTATCATTATTCTCCTAAATAAATGCCCCAGGCATCTGAAGAGATTTAATTTAGCATTCACAAGAAGAAATGAGAAGACAATGCACATCTACGCTTATATCACAAAAGACTGAAATTTTAACTGCAGTAAGATTAAAACAAGGATCCTAAAACTTAGTTTAGGTATCTGTGGCTTCACTTTGTAACCACACATTCAAACGGACATYGCAGACAGTTAGTGACTTTGCAGGAAAATTTCTAGTGGACAAATGCTATCACCCAAACAGCCTCATCAATTAAACATGCTCATAAAGTAATGGCAAGACTATTCACTGACTCTACATAGACATAAACTAATCTTTCTTAAGCTGAATAAGATATAGACAGAAAAATGAAGACTTGCACAGATGCTTGTGCATAGTTGCTCTAGGATATAAAAACTTCAGAGACCAATACATTTCCATTATCTTTTGTAGACATTAATTACCAAGCTTTTTTTTCTTTTAATTTAACAGCTAATAGTTTTAATTCTCATAGTCTTCTAATTAAGTCTGTCATCAATAATATTTATTTCAATAATAGGGATACGTATGGGAACCATCTCCAGGCTTGTCTGGCCGCCAGCTCCAGAAAGTCTCATTGCTCTTCTCCAGAGGGAGATGGTAAGATGTGCTTCCAAAGGCAAGTTTTATTAATCCTGTCATATTCCCTTACATTATTGGTCAACTACTCCATAAATGCCCACCAAAAAGGTTTATTTTTTTAATGCAGGAAACACTTGTCTTTGTCAGGAATGAGATGATAGAGAGGCCTTTTATCTGTTTTAATACAGCCATGGATATTTTCCCTGCCTTGGTGTGTTGTTCAGGATAATGTCATTTTCCCTCTAGGTAAGCAGCCTTTCTTTTTTATGATCTCCATAAACAAGACATGAACAGGATGYTTTTGAAGATTAAATGATATTTCCTGACCCTAAAGATATTTGTTTCCACAGGAGGACTGAGCTAGGGAAACCACTGAAAATCACTGACATAAAACGCTGAAGGATAGTGATGGGCCATTAAGTCTGAAGAAACACAAAAGCTCATTCACTCCCAGTAACTTAATTTTTTAAGAAGTATTGTGTGTCACTTTCATTTCATGCAAGTAGATCTTGATTTAAGACTGCAAGAGAGCGGTGAATTCTAGCTTGCTGATGTACTGTCAGATAAATCCCACTTTCACACAAATGCCTCTCATAATCCAACTTTCTAAAATACTATTCTCACAAAACAATATTCCTGACAGATGAATTTAAGTGTTATATATTCTTGATAAAGAGTCAAGAGGTAGATCTGGGGCAGGAATCGTCAAATTATGATGATAATTTTTGCAAAGCTATAACTATTTCACTGATAAAGCCATAATGGAGGAAAGGCTATTATTGCAATTGCCAACTAGGAAACTCTTGGATAAATGAAATACACTGATACGTAAAACACAGRTAAACTGTTTTATTGCTATATAGATGAGATTCATGCCAACTAATGCAAAAACTATTTTATGGGTTAACATTAAGAAAGATGCCTTCATAATTCTAAGCAATTATGATGAGAAGTTTAAGAAAATTAAAATTATTTTAAGGAGTAATACCATTTTGTGCCCATAGATTAATGAAACAAAAATCTTAAATGCCTGGAAAATGAAAGATTTCAGTCATTCTCCATAAGAAATGTTGCAGTACCCAGAAATCTCCAAATTAATTTAACATTTCCAGTGCAGATTTTCATCTTTAAAATGGCCAGCTGAGTGGGATCATTGTCTGCAATAAAAGGTAGAAACCAGTTTAAAACTTAGTGGGTTTAATTTTGTGTGTCTGTTCACTTGTGTTCAGCAGACAACATAAAACTTRTCAAGACTGTTTTAGCAGAACAAATTATAGATTTTGTAATACTTTTTTCTTTTCAAAGGAAAAACAAACAGGTGCTCAGGCAACTTAAATGAAATTGCTTCAGAACCAAGCACTTCTGAATGTAATATATTGTACAATTTAGCCCTAAAAGGTACATACATGTGTCTAACTACTTGCTGCATAGGCACAAATATCTTGATCACATTCACTATACACACAAATGGATTTTGGAGTAATATTAGAAAACAGATTGTTGTACCCTCAAACAAAGACACCACCCTGTATCACATGTAGTTTTAAAACTGACTTTTTTTTTATCACAGGTTGTCACTAGAGTAATTTTTAATTTAATTATTTTCTTTCATTTAAAATCACTAACATTTTAGGAAGCTCAAGAACGATAACACCTACCAGCTCACTGATGTCATGAATCAGTACATTCTCATAYTTCGCACGGATTTCTTCTGTCTTGTTTCTCACTGAACAACTGGACGAATTCACCGGTGACAGAACAAGGAACAGCGGCAGAACCCGAAAAATAGATCTAAAAAAGGCTGCATTACAACAAGAACAATTAAGTACATTATAAATGCCATGGGGTATTTGCTCTACATACACTACAGTCTGTGAAAACAGTTCAAAATCTTTTTACAGTTTTACCGTATGACTTGAGGGAAAGATTTCACTCCACATTAAGACACCACACTAGGTGTCTTAGGTCAAGGGTGCTCAAGGGTGATTTAGCCAATGCAGTTAAAGAGAGCCTACAACTATGTCGACCAGCCACTTGGTGTCTACCAGCTAGGCCAAACATCTCTCCAGGCTTTACTGAAGGCATTGACTAGATCTCTCCACTGACCGTAACRGGACCATAAACACCTAACATATAAGCAGATGAATAAATTCAAGCACCATAATGAGCAGCTAAATCCCACTGTCATTTTGCTTATATTACACTCTGCAAATGTCCGTGAAYGTGCCTTTATGTCAAAGTGTGTTGAGACATGTTTTCAGGCTGCCCAAATCCATGCTAGTGGTGTAACCTGAGATGAAGCAGCAATATAACTTCCTTTGCAAGTATTTTGCAATATTTGGGAGAAGTCTTACTKCTCTCCTTCCTTTTCCTTCTTTGCCCAGACCCCTGTTCTTTGGTTCCTGGATGACATCTGGGAAACCAGGAGCTCAGTGAGTAAAGACAAAGAGAAAAGGGCCAAGATACCACAAGAGCCTGAAAGAACTGATATGGTAACTGAAGGATAACTGGCCTGATCCTGGGAATAGGGGAAACAGGATAATACAGGTATTACAAGGCAAGTAAGTTCTAGGTTATAAAACTAGAGTAGGATGATATTGAATCAGAGGATAACAGGGACAGCACTAGAAATTTAGGTTGATGGATGAACAAAGAACATTCAGGAGCTCATTTTGCTCATTCAGGAGCAAAAATCTTTGCTCATTCTCAACAAGAGAAGCACTGATCCACATCCCTTGGGTACTCTGTATCCTCACAGCTGCCCTTTAGCCTTAGGCAGTAAGAAGAGTGGTCCCCATGTAGCGCAACTGGGAGCCAGCACAGCTCACAGAAGGGATGCCTTGAAGGATCAGGACTGCTACTTTCCTTCCTCTCCAGCAAAGACGGGACTGATCGACCAGCACAGACACTCCAACTCGCTCTTGAGCCTCACTGGTGAGTCCCAGCCTCAGTGGGAAATCTTCAACTGCACAGTACTAGAGACAGAAAGTACAATACTTCCTGAAATCCACCCTTTAAAAACGCATTCTGCCTGCACATCTTCCAAAAGCAAAGCAGTGAACTTGTTCATGATCTGTCCCTAGCAACCTACCTGCCGTGATGCAATAACCATAGTCACTGCTCTGGCTTTCATTGAAACCGCAGCCCCGGCCAGCTGACTCCCGCAGCCTGCTGCCTCTTCAAAGGTTTTCCTGATCTACCTAATCCCCTTTTCCTTATAGGCTCCTTGTGCCTACGCTGCGGTAAAACTCCCTGTCCTAGAAACAAGACTGAGTTTTCCCCTGTATAGGCTGAATTCCAAAATTCAGTTTGTAGAACTGGGATTCAATACTAAAACAAGAAAAACAAGCAAACAATAAATGGAAAAAAATGTAAGGACTTAATAACTCCTATTAGTATACTATCACAACTAAAAAAACAACTGTGATTCTTGTTTCCAAACAACTTAAATTGTATAGGCTACCTACCTCTAAAATGTACTTCAATCCATCCTCTAAATCAATGTAGCAGATTCCATCACTTCTAAAACTGAGTTTGTCCAGCCACATGTGGAGCTAACCGCATGGGGAAAACTTAAGTAACTTCTATATTTTTAGTTTCCTTGTAATGCACAGATTGCATTTTTTTTTTAATAAAGAAATTGCAGAATACGGGCAGATCATTCTGAAAGAGATGTTGCGCAATCAGCAGGTCACTCCACCCATGGCAGCATCACTACAAAGGAACCCATCTGGATACATCTAAAGTCGCCCTCTGGAACCCTGTAGCGCAGTAGCATTAAAAAAAAAAAAAAAAAGCCAGGAGCTTGGGAGAGCTGAGAAGTGAAAGACTTTTTCCTTGAAGTTCAGCAACTCCCAGAGAGGCAGAGCAGCTCCTGCTCCACGTGCCTAGTGCTTCTGATGGTAGGAAGTATGGGAATAATTGGGAACACTGCACCCTTCACCCTTGCAGTAAAATTCCCCAAAACTCCTAAGTCGTGCCTGGAAAGCCCCCAAATTTCTCGGACAAAAGTTGCTATTCCAGGATTTCCAAATCTAAAAAAGCCCC